TATATGAACGTATGAATTAATTAAACACACTGGCTACGAGATAATGTAACACACTCACGTATCGAAACTGTTGTTTTGTACAGCTGCCGTAGGTTCCAGATTGAAGGTAGCAAATCATTTATTTGGGTATGTTTTCAATGATCGAATCAGTACAGACTAAGCAGAGATATATCTCAGAATATTTTATGAAATCCACAAGCCTTTGCACGGAGATTGCAGATTGTAACAGAAATATAAATATACTGTGTCCCAATATAAACTATATTGCGTTCGCGTGGTGTGATATGAGCGATAAATACGTTTTGATTTTGTTTGCGCCATATCGCATGAACAGTTCATAGAGGGAGCGGGGAGCCGGGGGGGAAGTAAATATTTCGCGACGGGTAGGACCGAATCCCGGATGGAACCCCACAGTCCAAAATCTATTGTCATTCCTTTGAAATTTGAATAGAGCTCAACAAGTTGGCCAACCCTGATCGCAAGTTACGGCCTATAAATATGAAAAAATCGGGATATAGATACCCAAAAACAATATCTGGTTCTTGCATCATATTTGCTCTGGCTCATACATTTGTAGTGATCGGATTTGGACATGTGCCAATAATTTTCAGGCCCCTCGATATCCCCCAACCATAAATAATTTAGATCCACTACCCATAAATACAAAAGGCTAAATATTTTCTTCGGCTCAACCTATATTTACTCTCAACGGAAGGCGTGCTATTTTTACAAACTATTATATACTGCTACGAGCATAGCGTAAATTTTTCCATCAATAGCCACAGCAAGCACACGCACAGCTTGCGCCATACGACGTTTTATATAGAAAGTGACTGATGGGAAACACTCTACACCATAGTGCTCTTAGTAAATATACACAGTGATCAATTTTCAGGAACGTTGCTAAACTGCTTCATGGTGAGTTTGGCCTCAAGGACTTCTGTTTGTCTTGTACCTTCATATATATATTAATTATGGGGTGTGGGGGATCGACGCCGAGTAAACCGGCTCAGGAAAATCAACGAGCACAAACTAACTACCAACATCAGCAGAATACACAAACGAGTGTACAAAATAACACTCCACGACCACAGCAACAGCAACAGCAACAGCAACAGCCTCACCAACAGGCGCCACAGGGACAACAAGTGACTACGCAGCACCCACAGGCCACAAATGCAGCTAGTCAAGCATTTTCCGCGCCTATTGAATACACACGCGATGGGTCGCACAAGCAGCAGAGCTCTAATAGGGTTAGTGACAGGCGTATAGGCCAGCTGTTTGTGGCGCAGTTCGACTACGCAGGTGCATCGGGGGATCTGTCGTTAAAGAGCGGAGAGATACTCGAGATTCTAGACACCTCTGAGGGCGATTGGTGGAAGGCTCGATCTGTGCGGACAGAGCTTGTTGGATATGTACCGTCCAATTTCTTATACCCCAAAACCGACTTTGCCAATGAGCCCTGGTTTCACAGCAACGTTGAACGTGCAGATGCCGAACGCATGCTGGTACAAGTGGGCCAGAGGGGAGCGTTTCTGGTGCGAGAGTCCCGTACAAGACCGGGATCATATAGCTTAAGTGTGCTTGATCACGACACAATAGTAAAACACTATCAGATTAAGGTGGCAGAGGATCCTCCAGGGGCAGTTCCGGGGTCGTCTGGGTTTTACATCAGCAAGAAGAGTGTATTCCTGTCGTTGCGTGATTTAATACACTCATACCACGACCATCAAGAGGGTTTATGTGCTGTGCTTACTGTACCATGTCCCAAGGCCGGACCCACACTCACAGACTTCAGTCACGCCACCAGAGATATGTGGGAAATCAAGCGCGAGACTATTGGTCTGAGTGAGAAATTAGGGGAAGGGGAGTTCGGTACTGTGTGGAAGGGTACCTGGAATAATAATACGCACGTGGCCGTGAAAGAGCTTAAAAAGGGCAATATGGGTGCCGAGGAGTTCCTAAAAGAAGCGTCTATAATGAAGAAGCTGCAGCACCAAAACTTGGTCAGGCTATACGCAGTTTGTACTGATAGTGAGCCGTACTATATTGTGTTGGAATATATGGGCAATGGTTCTCTGCGGTCCTTTTTACTGCGTAACCAGCAGGAGTGCTCGACCAACCACCAGTTCCCTGACGCCGCAGATATCAGCTATTCTGGTAACAGCAGATACGAATGCCTACAGAAGTGTCTCACATGGAGGCAACGGGCGGATATGTGTCAGCAGGTGGCCTCGGGTATGGCTTTCCTGGAGTCCAAGAATATGATCCACAGAGATTTGGCTGCAAGGAATGTTCTTTTGAATTTGGAAAATGTATGCAAAGTGGCCGATTTCGGATTAGCGCGCGACTTCAAAAACTCGAGTAATAATAAGGGCGAAGAGCCAATATACACAGCCCACGCAGACACCAAGTTCCCAGTCAAATGGACTGCGCCTGAGGCTATCATCAAAGGGGCTTTCAGTGTAAAGAGTGATGTGTGGAGTTTCGGTATCCTGATGATGGAGATAGCCACAGGCGGGGCTATACCTTATCCCGGCATGGGCAACATGCAGGTGGTCAACCTACTCAACGACAACTACAGACAGCCTAAACCCCCCCGGTGTCCCGACGAGTACTACGAGGTTATCCAGAATTGCCTGCGCCAGTTCCCTGAGGAGCGGCCCACCTTTGAATCCCTGCAGTGGGTGATGGAGGATCTCTTCGGCAATGCCAGACTGGACTACGAGGACCCTAGCACGGCTGGCTCATTGATTCAGCAGTGATGGGGGGTGGGTAGAATTGTGAGCGGTTTGTAGTTTGCAGACATGAAGCTCACGTAAATAGTATGCTCGGATATGCGAGGAGCGGCATCCATGTGACCAGTTAGGGCAAATGAGTGGTTAGAGGGACATAGCTACGATGTAGGGAGGTGACTGTGCTGTATGCATGTAGTATATTGATATAGCTAGGGCGTATACCTGCGTCTTGTTCTTGGCGGTGATGCTGGCTCATCCTGCCGCCGAGGGTACACGCCATTGAGACGCACTGGTGTATACCAAAGATGGGTGTGATCGCTACCAGTACGAACACTCCCGGGTAGAGACAGAACCATGAGACTTGGAATGGGTATTACAATTGCATATGTAGACATGCGAATGAGACTTGGAATGGGTATTACAATTGCTTATGTAGACATGCGAATGAGACTGCCGTGTTATAAAGTGGTGGGCGCTGCGTCGGCTTGGCTGTGTAATCAATGCCCATGCCCTTTCTATGTACTTAGCAGCTTCTGTGAAGACACGCAGAATAAACTGGAGTTGTATGTTTGCTTGGTCTGGTATTCGAGCAGTTTCTTGGTTTTCATTCATGCATATTTCATGGGAATCTGAAGAAAGCTCGTGTTTACAAAGCAATAACATATACGTTAACGAGTCATGTCTCGTTGATTCGCAATGGATGCATTCACTGTCCCCAGTCGCATTTACGTTGAGATGACTTGATTTATGGTGCGAAGAATAGGCTTAAGTGTAAGAGTGGTGGTTTGACGCTGGTGAACACCATCTGGCATGGCGGCAGATACGAATACGTAATAAACGGTAAAGGCTTCAATCTGCAGTTCCAGAAGTCAAAGCGTACGTGGGTTAACGACTGCTTGAACAGTAGTTCAGAAAGGGCGGTATAGCAGAATTGTATAAGAGATCCAAAGTAATAAAATAGGCTCTCTGCTGTGTATGGTCAGTATCTCAACTTCAGCGTATGCATTGGGGAAACCGGGAGGGTGTGGTGTACGCATTTGCGAGATGGAAGAACATAAGAACGATATCAATGTAATAGTAAGAACATAAGAAAGATATCAATGTAATAGTAAGTACATAAGAAATATATCAATGTAATATTTGGAACACAAGAAAGATACCAATGTATTAGTTAGAACATAAGAAAGATGTAATAGTTAGAACATAATAATGATATCAATATAATAGAACATAAGAAATATATCAATGCAATAGTAAGAACATATGAGATATATCAAGTGTATTAGTTACAGCCTCATACCTTATACACATAATTCTTTACACTATGCACTTGGTTGGATTGAACACATGTTTAATATTGCATCTGCGTTCAGAACACCGTACTGTGACGGGTACAAATCGATCTCCGAGACTAATAGTCGCAAACGCACCCTACTTAAGCCGAAAACATGTCCTGGGCAATATGCGAGGGTAACAACTGTCAGTATTCGTACGCCAGCACAACTTGTGAAGCTTCAGCCACTCCCGTGCAGAGACCAGATTGCAGCTTGAGATGTCACTGACCTAGGACTATAGTGCAAGGCCCACCCACAAAACCCCACGGTTAGAACCGCGACTGTTTGTTTACAGATGAAATAAGATCTTATCGCAACGCAGACACTCAAGGCCAAAGAGCATCAGGCACATCGCGTCTTGGTCGTGGCGTGTATTCAGTATATGTATATGTATTATTGGGCATGTTTTCAGTCTATGTATATGTATTATTGTGCATGTATTAAGTATATGTACGTATATCATTGTGCATGTATTCAGTACGCATGTATTCAGTATATGTATATGTATATATATCATTGTGCCAGTATTGTAACATTGCGGTACATACGGGTTATGATGATGACAGTGGCTCCTTGAGTTTTTGCGGACCCTACTGCCAAGTAGGAAAACCCTGAACAACGCAGATCCAGGGTTGTAGCTTTCTTCACACTTTTATTATGCCATAGACCTCTTGTAGTCGAGCTCTATGACTACGCCTTCTCAGTTCACTTTTTATAAAACAAACCTCCAGGCTACAGCGGCAGTCTATACTCTATAGCCCTAAGTGTTTTTGAAAATATATACGTAACCTATCAAACTACACAAAGTGACACAGCAGTGAACGGTTGGTACGCAATCTCTGCCAAAGTGTAAGGCAGGCGACCCAAGATTGCAACTACTTCAAAGAAGTAATATGACTTCCAAAGTATGCGCGGAAAAGGTTTGATTCTCAATGGGTTTATTCATCGTGAGCACACATGCGCATACATAGTTATACATATTAATTAGTGCGTATACGTAGTAATACACA